GGGATTGGCTGACCCCCCTCACTCTGACCACGCCCTCCCCCTGACTACCCCCTCCCTTCCCCCAAGAACGAGTATAAAAGGACGAGCGCAACGCGAGGGAGCTCAGTATCAGAGTCTCCCAGCCCTGATGAAGCAGACTGCAACGCGTGCGAAACGTCGGCACCACACTGCAAACGGACGCGGCAACCATCCGGAAGCCATGAAGACTAAAGAAGACAACAGCCGCGAAAGCCTGAAAGCCAAGATGTAGATTATAGTCTTCATCCTAGTTTAAAAACAATTTTCAAAAGAGTTTAAATTAGTTTTTCTTTACTTTTCGTAGTTTGTTGGGATGAACAATTTTCAGTTTTCCTTTAACAAGGATTTTAATATTTCCGTTTGGTAATATGTCAGTTATTGTATGTGGCCCCGAATATTGGTCACCTAACTTCCCCTTTTTAGGTTCATTTAAAAGAAAAATTTGATCGTTTATTTGAAAAGTCTGAGGATTAATTTTTCTATCATAATAAAATTTAGATTTAATTTTTGACGCTATTAAACATTCTCGTGCTAATTCTTGTACATTATGAATTTTGGTCATTAATTGAGTTAGATAATCGTCATATGGTTTTTCTTTTTCAACTTCTTCTATTATTTCACTGGAAGGCTGTCTGGCTAATTTTCCAAATACTAATTCGTATGGAGTATATCCAGTTGATTCATGTGTGCTTGTATTATATGAGAAAGTTGCAAATTCTAATAGTTCATCCCATTCAGTAAATTTATTAACAAATTGTTTTAGATATTCTATTAATACTATATGTGATCTTTCTAAAGCTCCATTGGCTTGTGGATAAAAAGCTGTAGTTTTATATTGTTTAATCTTGAATTGTTTAGCGAAGCGTTTCATTAAATTACTCATAAAATTTGTTCCTCGATCTGTTAATATTATTTTAGGTGCTCCAAAAAGGCAAATAAAATATTTTAATAGTGCCATCAGCAAGTTGTACAGCAGTTATGGATCTTAAAGGGATTGCTAAGGAAAATTTTGTTAGATGATCTTGGATTGTTAGAATATAGGAATTTCCTTTGGAAGTTTCTGGTAAAGGCCCTACTATATCCATTGATATTTTTTCAAAAGACGAAAAAGGTGTATCAGTAATTATCATTGGTTGTTTGGTTTTTACTCTAACCAATTTTTTAATTTGACATTGTAAGCATTGACTAATATAATTTTGAATATCAGATTTAATGTTTTCCCAGTAAAAATTTTGTCGAATTCGATTATAAGTTTTAGTTATTCCTTTATGGCCTCCAATTTTTGAAGAATGAGCCTCTTCAATTATATTTTTACGATTTTCAATTTCTGGGATTTTAACTAATCCATGACATATTATTAATTTGGTTGATGTTCCAATTATTGATTGTTGAAGTTGTTTAAACATTTCTTCCCATGAAATATTATCTATTTCCTTTGATTTAGCTACATTTATTATTTTTATTGAATTTTCCTTAATAATTTTAAGTAATTTAATTCCAAATTCTAGTAAAATTTTCGAGGTTATTCTTTCTTGAATATTTTCTTTGCAAATAAAAATTAGATGATATTTATTCCCCCTTTTAATTACTTTAAAATTTCCTACTTCATTTTCTTTGATTGTAGGTATTAAATTTCGTTTTTGAAGTTGTTTTGATCCCTTATCACAAGATTTTCCATCTTTTGTAAAAAAATATAAGTAATTTTCTTTTCTCATAAAAATTTGATCGCGACTGTTTATGATACTTAATTTCTGTCCACGTGTTTCCATCTGTTTTTCTGTTTCGTCAATTAGATCGTTTGGATCAAATTCGTTAAACGTTTCGTCAATGTCTTTGTCACTGTCGTTATCGTCTTCTTCTTCAAAGTTAGCTTCTTCATCTTCTTCATTTGAGTCTTCATCGGAGCTGAGGTTGTTTTCTTTACCCTCTGGATTAGAGTTATTTTCTCTTATTTCATTAGTCAAAACTTCGCGAATATCTGTACCTGAATTTTTCTTCCGATAAATTTCTTCATGATCATAATCTCCTGCCAAATTATTTATTATCTGTAAAAGATTGGGTGGTATTATTATTTGCGAAATAGAAGTATTTGCAATGTCATTATTAGTATCGTTGTTTAAATTTTCTGGAAGTAAAATTTCTGTGTCAGGTTGAGTGGATTCTGTGTTGAGTTGACTGTTTTGAATACTAGTTTCAGAATCAGTTAATTCTGCTATAAGTAGAGGTTCTGTTTCATTAACGTTTTTCGGTAATTCATTTGTGTTTTCTTGTTGATTTAGTGGAATATTGTGTATTTCAGCTTGAAATGTATGTTCGTAAAATAATGGTTCGCTTAGTTCCTTTTTTGTAAATGGTACACTTTCTCCTTCCGAAATTTCTAAACTTCGCGTGGTTATCCCCGAAACTATCGGTTCTGGTTCTTCTATCATCATTCCCCTTCTTGGAGAGGCTGGTAAAGGCTTATGCCTAAGTCTAGCATTTCTTTGTCTTATCTCTTCATCTTCAGAACATTCTTCAATTTCATCATATAATGAATGTATTGGATAAATATTTGTCGTAGGATTTCTGGATAAAACATCAGCATTGGCATTTATTTTTCCGGGTTTATAAATTATTTCATAATCATATTCTGCTAATTTAATTTTCCATCGAGCTAAACGTGAGGTTGGATCTTTTAATTTATTAAGCCAAATTAAAGGTTTATTGGAGGACCAACCGAGCCCGCCGAAGGCGGGCGAAGGTTGGTCTAGATTATACGAGTGTCTCGCCCGAGAGATTACGAAGGTAGTACCGCTACTCCATGCCTGACTAGTCACAATTTCAGAGCCAAAAATTTTTTAAAACTGCCGCCGCTGGCCCAATCCAGCGGCCCGGTGTGGTCCGGTGTGGCGCCTCGCTGCCACTGTCGTCTTCCCTCGTCATTTCGTTCAGAGCTAGCTGTTTCGAAAAATTGTTTCTTTTTCTTCTGGGTGGGTTGAATAGAACTGGGGTGGGAATCTCTCGGGCGAGACACTCGTATAATCTAGACCAACCTTCGCCCGCCTTCGGCGGGCTCGGTTGGTCCTCCAATTATACTTCGTGTCTCGCCCTTCGAGATTACGAAGGTAGAACTTTAGAGCTTAAACAATTTTTTGAAGTAACATATATATTACATATAGATACATAATATATTTACGTATGATCAATGAAACCCGTGGGTTTTTTTTTTAACTCTTAGGTAATAAAACCGTCCTTGCGAAGGTATCTTCTGTAAGTACTATAGGGCGGTTGTAATAATCCGCGAATACTCTTGAATTTGGAGACCATCCGGCTACTCTTTTAATTTCCTCTATATTTACTCCCTTTTCGAAAGCTCTTGAGGTTGAGGCGTGTCTAGTGCTGTATGCTGTAAATTTTTTGTCCACTCCCAGGGTGATCAGACTTGATTTTATCCATCTCCCAAGGGTGTCCTCTTTTACCCTTTTATGCGGTTTCTGGAATGAGATAAACAGTGTGTCCTCTCCATTTCGTAGGCATTGTGTGATTCCTAGATAATAGAGTAAGGTCTTTGCAATGCACAAGCCCGGTTTCTCGTTGAAGAAAGGGAGTTTCAGGACCGGTCGCTTAGTACTTGTTCCCGACGATTTTATTCGGTCCGGAATTTTGATTTCTAAACCCCCATCAGACGAGAATATGTTGGAGATCTTGATTAAGGCTAACGTCTGTAACCTATGGGCTGTACCGAGCGCTAATAGGAGAGCTAATTTCTGTGAGAGCTGTTTTAGAGTTAGCGATTCCAATGGGAACCAATTCTGTAGTTTTTCCAATACTGGATCCACATCCCATGTCGAGTCATATCTAGGTTTGTTTGGTCTCGTCTTCAGCGATCCTTTGATAAATTTTTTTACTAGATCGTTAGTTCCAATGTTCTCCGTAGATATAACTGCCAATGCCGACCTTGACGAGTTCAGTGTTCCGTAATTTGCACCCTCTTGGTATCTTAACGTTAGAAACTTTAAGATTTTCGGTATCGATACGTCAAAGGGATCAGAATTCTCCTTAGCGTTCATGTCCCACCATAATTTCAGTGCGTTATTATATTGCTTGATTGTTGAATCTTCCCACGCTTTCATCATTATTTCCGCTGTATTCTCTGACGCTCCTCTTCGTCTCAAGGCTTCGCTGATAACCTGGCGGCAACCAGGGTAAGCTTGGACGCTAATGAATGATACCGTGTTCTGCAAGGTGAGAGATTGACATTTGGATGAAATTCTAAATACGGTCCTTTGACCAATTTCATAAATACTGGAAACCATATCTGACTAGTCCAGCGAGGTACCACTACGATACCGGAAGCTTTCTCGACTTTAATTTTATGAAGCACCTTGGCAATTATGCTGAAAGGTGGGAATGCGTAAAAGTTTAAGTTTGACCATGAGAGTGTGAAAGCATTGACGACAATTGCGTCAGGGTCTCTCTCCCATGAGGAATAAATCCTACACTTTTTGTTAGTTTTTGAGGCAAACAGATCGATCTCCGGTTCTCCAAATGTTTTTCGAATCTGATGAAAGGCGTAATCCGCCAGTTCCCATTCGGTGTCTATATTTTGTATTCTAGACAACGCGTCAGCTTCTTTATTTTCCTTAGAAGAAATGTATTCGGCAAATACCCACAGCCGTCGCTCTTCACACCAATTCCAGAGTTTCTCCGCATCTTTGTGTAAATAATCTACTCTCACTCCACCCATTTTATTAATGTAAGCCATCGCTGTCGTGTTGTCTACCCTGAGCAGGATTTCGCAATCCGAAAGGTCGTTAGCAAAACATTTCAGTGCTAGTAGAGCAGCTTTTAACTCCAGCTGGTTTATGTGTAGATCTGATTGTTTGGAAGTCCAGTGCCCATAAGCTTGTTTACCACTACAGTAAGCTCCCCAGCCCGTTTTACTAGCGTCTGAGAAAATCTCTCTTTCGAAACACATTGATTTGATTTTCTTGTACGAAGACTCCAACTTCCTTTTCCACCAACCTAAATCGCCCTTAATTGATTTAGGAATTTTCATAGTTTTTTCGAAGTTACCCTCATTTTCTTCAAGCGCTTGTAATTTTGCTACTTCTAACGATTTGGTGTGTATCATACCGTAATCGACACCTGGGCAGCTTGCCACTAATAGTCCTATGAATTGGGCAAATTCTCGAATCGAGCAAGACTTCTTTCTTTCTATCCTACGAACCTTGTTAAGTAACTCTATTTTCTTCTTTTGTGGCAATATAGTCATCTGGACGGAGTTTATGACAAACCCAAGATACTTGCAGATAGGTTTTGGATTTAGTTTCGATTTTTTCCCGTTTATTACAAAACCCAATGATTCTAAGAAATTATAAGTAGTCTGGATATTAGTTTGACAAACTGACTCTGTTTCACCCAAACATAAAATGTCGTCTAGGTAGATAACTGACAAAAAACCTCGTGATCTTAAAAAATTCATATATCACTGGTTTCATCAACTTTGTGAACACCAGGGGGCTCGAGCTTAACCCAAAAGGTAAGGAAGTAAACTCGTATATTTGAGAATTAAATCTGAAACGAAGGAACTTCCTATAATCTTTATGTATAGAAATAAGAAAATAAGCATCCTTTAAGTCGATTGATCCCATCAACATGTTGGGTTCTAGTAACCTGCATACTGCTCTAAGATCTTCTAATTTGAAGTGTTCGGTTTCTACAAAAAGGTTGAGTTTTTTAAGATTTAGGATAAACCTGCTACTGCCATCGGGTTTTTTAGTCAAGAAGTAGCTAGAAAGGAATTGACCTTCTGTTGGTTCGCAGGGGACTATTGCTCCTATTGACAAGAGGCGATCTATTTCCCCCCGTAAGTTGAGATATTCGGACTGAGACCAATGTCCCATGGGAGGGATTTGAGACTGTTCAGGTAAACAGTTAAACGGTATCTTATAACCTTTTACGCATTCCAGAACAAAAAGATCAGAAGTGATAAGTTTCCAGGCATTTATGAAATTTGTCAGCCTTCCGGCCAATGTCAAGACCTGGTTTGTCTCTAGCGATGCCTGGATTTGTCTCGGTATCGAGCGCGATCTCGGTAACTGCTCGATTTCGGGTAGGATTTCCTCGTTGATTCCGATGCTGCCGGCTTCCTTGACTGATGAGGACGATATTTGGGGCCCGACTGGGTCGCCGACTTCTGAGATACCAGTGGGCCTTTCCAGTTTGACGAACTCTGTAAGCTGGGTGTGGTTTTCGGTTGTATTTTCATATCTTGTCCCAACTTGTTGATCATCTTTATCTCCTTGATTCTTTCACCTAGGTTTTCGCCAAATAAGTATTTATCTGCTTCTCTCTTCATTAGCTGATCGGCCATCTGTTTCGAGACACATGGGAGGATACATGCTCTTCGCGCTTTTGTTTGTGAATGGTGAATTTCCGCCAATAACTGGGCTGCGTCCCATAGATTTTCCAGCCTTCTTTTTGATTCCTTTGACTTCATCGGTACCAAATCTGTTATGACAGGGACCAGAGCCGAAAGGGCTGCGCCTGCCAAGTTTTGAGTAAACGTAAAGTATTTGTCTTTCTTTATAATATTAGTATTCAGTGAGCTCAGTTCTTGATTAAGGATTGGTGGTTCCAGAGAGCAAGGACCTGCTCTAGGGTATTTCTTGAGTAATTCGTCTCTTGCCTCCTTCTTTAGCCCCTGTTTTAACCAAGGGTTCCAGCGATTCACCAAGCTGGAATGAATTTCTAGCTCCTTTAGGGTCTTTAAAGGTTCTTCGCCGATGATCTTTAGCGTTTCCTCATCTAGATCGAAGATGTCTTCGCTATTTTTATCTGTTGCAGCAGCCTGATTAGTGAGCGGTGTAGCCTCTGCTTCTTCAGTCTGACTTCTTTGAGTCGGGTTCGTTGAATTACTAGCCGTAGCGTTCTCCGGTTGAATCCCAGTTGAATCCCGAGAGAGTGGTTCATTAATTATTCCAGATCTTTCAGGTGAGTCTGCGATTTCACTCGGTGTACCTGAAATTTTAGGTTAGGATAAAATTGGTAGGTACGGGCCCCGGCGTCGGTACATAAAAATGTTATGACGCGTCCCGCCTCCCTCGGGTAGCTATCTAATGGGTTCAAACATGCTCTATAGCGCGTATCGAGCTGTCCAATAGCTTGATTGGTTATGTCTCGGCTCTCGTCCGAGCTCAACCATCACGGATGTTTAGGTTATGTCTCGGCTCTCGTCCGAGCTCAACCTCATTATTTGTAACACGACTCATGCGAGGTGAGTCATTAGGGTTATGTCTCGGCTCTCGTCCGAGCTCAGTCTTATTATTCGGAACACGCCTTATCTCTCGTATAAGATCGTCCGGACTATCAATTTTGGTTATGTCTCGGCTCTCGTCCGAGCTCAACCATTTAATCTATTTTGCTACGATTTCCGATGATTTCTTACCTGTGATGTCCCTTTGGGATATTTCCGGTGAGTTTCTGTTGCTTATGTCGACGTTCTCTCGGAGTGGATATCTTACTGGTAGACGAGATTCAATTAGACTCTCCAGGTTTTTCAGCCTTTTCCATAATTCCCTGTTTTCCTTTTCTCTGCTGTGCGATCTCTTTCTGCTTTTTCCCATCTCTACGAACAGATATTTTCTTGTGACTACGCTCTAGATGTGACTTGTCTGGCACAAAGAAAACGAATGACGAGGGAAGACGACAGTGGCAGCGAGGCGCCACACCGGACCACACCGGGCCGCTGGATTGGGCCAGCGGCGGCAGTTTTAAAAAATTTTTGGCTCTGAAATTGTGACTAGTCAGGCATGGAGTAGCGGTACTACCTTCGTAATCTCGAAGGGCGAGACACGAAGTATAATGATCTGTTATCAATTTAAATTTCTTTCCATAAAGATAAGGTCGAAAATGTTGTACTGCATATACAATCGCTAATACATAATTCTTTTTCTATTGTTGAGTAATTTCTTTCGGCGTCATTTAATACTCGCGATGCATAGCTTATGGGTAAATCTTTTCCAATTTCTCCTTGACTTAAAATTGCGCCAATTGCAATTCCGGAAGCGTCTGTTGTTAAAAGAAAAGTCTTAGTGAAATCTGGATATTGTAAAACTGGTTCTTGACAAAGTGCCCCTTTCAATATGGCAAAACTTTCTTGTTCTCTATCTCCCCATTTAAAATCGACATCCCCTTTTAATAAATTTGTTAATGGTGTCACGTCCAGCGCACATTTTTCGCTGACGTGGTTAGTAACGGTAGTAATTGCCCACCCGATAGGTATCACTGGCGCGGCGCGGCTACTAGCACGCGCGCAACACGTGATTTGCAGATATTCGCTCTCCTTCTTTTCCAAGTTAATGATAGAATTAAGCGATTAATTGACGATAGCTGAGGCAGCCACTATAACAGACGAATCCTTGGCGCCTCCGCTTTCGTCCCAAATTAATAATAACGAATAATAAGCTAATATCAACGATTTCCGTGGAAGGAGTGAACTCCACGGGAACCGTCGATCACAGCCGCGTGCGAGGGCGCTGTGCGCCTCCACCGGTAGCCACGATGGCAATCAGGACCGGTAGAAATCGCTGTAAATGAGAGAAATATAGCATTTATAGAAATTCCGGCGAAACTTCTAGAAGGTTCGATGCCTACGTGACTCGACGCGATATAGCGGAACTCTAGGGAGAAAAACGAGGGATCGGTATGCGGATTAATTAATCGGCGGCGCGCGGCAAATTTAAAGTTTGAAAAACGGCATAAGGATGAACGGAGGCCCTTTGCCAAGGTGACCAAAGCTCAAATTGTTTAGAGCACCGGTAGGTGCCATAATTAGCACTTTAAGGGAAAATTCCGAAGGGCCCCCGCTCATCACCACTTCCGCACTTGCCCTACAACCTAACAGTATATAAGCGGGCCGTCGGAGCCCCGAATTCGTAGTACGTTTCCAAACGTTCAGCAGGCCGAAGCTCTGCCCGAGAGACAAGCCTAGTA